GGATTTGGGGTTTTTTGGGGTGCAGTTTTTGTAAAGCTTTGAGATGTAAAGTAAAATGTGCAAAACATCTGCTTTTTGCTGCAAATCTGGTATCTGCAATTAGAAGCATTGGCCATTTATAGTTTTCCTTTTAGTTCCTGACTTTTGGGGAAGGTTTACCTCATGAAAGCTGTTAAAATGTTCAGCTTTGTGTCTCAGTTTTGGACAAGTTAGGAGGAAACGTCCTGAAAGGAATGTCTCCTTTAAAGAGACAAGATTAGGCACTCCATCCCCCACCAGCGATACAAAAGGAATTTCTTGGAGAAGAGTGAAAAAAACTTGTTTATTTAACAAAGTGCGCACAGGCACGGGAGGAAAAAATAAAAAAAAGAAAGAAAAAATTAAGAAAAAAAAAAGAATAATGTTAGATGATAAAAACAAAGCATATAACTCTCCCTCTCTCTGCTGAGAAAGAACAGAGAGAGAGCAGAGGGGTGTCTGTGTTTGAATGCAGAAGGAATTCCACCGGTTCTCCCCCGTTCCCCTGGGTGCAGTTTAAAACTACAGGAGCCATTTCTGGGCTTAAAGCAGACAATAACATCATATAGTCACCCCAAGACACTTTGCTTTCAGACTGAGGTGGAATGTTAATGGTAGTGTTAACTTTAAAAAGTAAAATAAAAAGAAGGAACATCCTCCTTCTTTAATGTTAAAGGTCATGAGGAACACCCTAAATGTTGGAAGGGTTTTATTTGCCTTTCAGTCTTGGCATTCTGGGTACAATCAGATTCTCCTACCCACCTTGTCTTCACCAATTCATAGATGGACCAGCTCATTCTGTATCATAACTAAATTTTTTTTGTTGAAATGTGTTGATTCCGGCAATAGTGGGTGTCAAGAAACTGGCTAATTCTCATATGTTCATGGCAGCACTGTGATTCGGTGGGATGAATTTAATTTGCTGCATTCCTCAGAGCTGCTGTTGTAAGAGGAGGGTACTGGTGGAGGTAATGAGGAATGATCAAGAAACTGCTAATTCTCATATGTTCATGGCAGCATTGTGATTCTGTGGGATGAATTTAATTTGCTGCATTCCTCAGAGCTGCTGTTTTAAGAGGAGGGTACTGGTGGAGGTAATGAGGAATTAAATCCCCAGAAAATTAAAAATAGGGAGAGCAAAGGCAGTTCCTGTCAGAAGCAGGAAGGATTCTGGAGTTTTATCCTGCTTTTTTTCTTTGTTTTATAAGAAATGTCTTGAAAGATCCTACTGTTTGACATACAAAGTATATAAAAATTATTTCCACCAGGTCCACAATGTCTCTGGTGCCTGACAAACTAATGTCATGTGAGCAGTAATTAGTGCTGGCATTTCTTAAGGCCATGATATGGACGTTTTATCCTGTTTTTTTTTTCTTTGTTTTATAAGAAATGTCTTGAAAGATCCTACTGTTTGACATACAAAGTATATAAAAATTATTTCCACCAGGTCCACAATGTCTCTGGTGCCTGACAAACTAATGTCATGTGAGCAGTAATTAGTGCTGGCATTTCTTAAGGCCATGGTGTGGAACACACGGAGCAAGCAGAGCTATTCATAAAAACAAGAATTCACAGATTTTGAAGTTGTTCTGATCTTTGCAGAGCAACTTATTTTGATTGAGTTCCTTGTCTGTGTTTGATCAGCATTTGGATCAGTACAGGAAGTACAACCTTGCACACCCTCAAGTATCTCTGTTCCTGGTGTTGTGATCTCAAGTCTCAATTTTCCAGCACAATTTCCATTGCCCCTCTTCTTTCAGAGTATCTACTTGATAGGTAAGTGAGAGGTTTTGAATGGTGAGAAAGGATGTTTTTTGTTTTATAGGAGTTTGTTTTATAATAAAATATCCAAGCTTCCAGGCGTATCTGTGAGGTGTTTGCTTGCTGGTTCAGCTTTGAAGGCTGGAACAGGAAGGTGGACAGACAGATGTATGATATCTATAGGTACATTTATGCTGAAGGTCTTTGCTTTCTGCTTTCATCCCACAGATCTCCTTCAGTTCTGATTTTCTGCATAGCAATTTTTTTTTTTATTGGTTAAATCAAGGGAGTTATAAACCTGAGATTATAAAAACTCAGCTATTACATTTTTTTGACTACTACTTGAAACTGAGGGTTTTTGAGTATTGTAAATTTGAATTTTCTCATTTTTTTATCATCAGATGAGCTTGATCATTTGGTACCTAAATTGTTTTGATATCATCTTCTCCAGTGTGAGTGACCAAATCTGAGTGTTTCCTCCCATTGTTAGGTTCTTAATATCTGTTACCATCATGGCATGACAACCTGGTCCTGCCTGTGGTGTTGAATGTTCATCGAAGTCCACACTGCAGGTGCCAGGTGTGCATTACCTGCCAGGTACCTCCCCTCTGTGCTGTGCCTTAGCACCAGCAAAAAATCCTGCTCCTGATCTGAACGGTGCAGGCAGGGATGGCAATGAAGCCACGTTCAGCCCTTCCTGAGAATACTGGGCTCTGTGCGCAGCCAGACTCCGCTGAGTGCTGTGGACAGGGTGCTCAGGCTGGAGGGATTGCTCTGGGCAGGTGTTGGGTGGGCTCTAAAAGCAAGCAGCTTGTGCCAGCTGCTTGATCCTGGAACTTTATTTTTTGCTGGAAGGCTTTGTGATAGGGCGTGGCTTTCTCTGGCTGCTCAGTGTCCTGGCAGAGCTCCATGCCTGATCGGAACAACCGCTGCTGGATGTCTGAGTGTGAGCACTACTGAAACAGGCAAAACACTTGCAATGCTAAGTGTTTGGGTCTCTTTCTGCTGCAAGCTATGATTAAAACAAAAACCTAAGCAACCCATGGCAAGATATGAAATCTTAACTCACAAAATGAAGTTGGAAATGTTGACAAATATATTTGGGGTGTCCCAGTATAATTGCTCATTTTCTCAATTAATCCAAAGCACCACGTGATTCCTTCCTAGGAATAGTCCCTATTATCACATATCTCTCTCCCCTTAAATCCCTTCTATCAGCTTTCATTAAAATAGAAAATAGGGTTTATTGCTTCTTACAAGCTTTATTATGGAGGCCTGGCTTATCTTCCTTCTGTTACAGAAAAACTTGGACCAACAACTGCTGGATATTTGTCCCAAAATGTAGATTGATGCATTGTGGATTTTATGCTCTCAGTAACTTTACTCTGCACCTAAGTGAAGCTTAAAAGACACCAAACAAGTAGGAGAAACAAGTTTATAAGTTCACTCAAAAATATTGAAGGCATGTGACTTCCATTGGTTTTCAGTTTTTATTAGCTAGGTAAACCATGAGGTGGAAATTTTTGCTTTTTTCAATTACAGGATTTGACAGTATTAATCTACAATGCAACACTTGCTGTGTGACATTTCTGTGGTTGTGTTGTGGATTTTTCTGTCACTGTATGGTGTCGGAAGCCGTTTGAAATGCTTCAAATGAAGTAACTTGAAAATCGTGTCTTTTACAGATATGGAAACAGGATCCTGGAAATTAAACACCTTGATGATCAAGTGATTTATCCACGTGCTGAGAGAATCCTAAGTCAGGGTCAGCGGCGCAGACAGGGCAGCCTTGTGTCAGCCCATCACCTTGCACTGAGCAGCTGAGCTGTGACAGCTCTGGGTTCCTCACCGTTTTCCATCTCCATCCTGAGGTCCCCTGAAGGCCAGTCCTGGCCTCTTCTCACTTCACAAGCTGCAATCTTTCCAAACCACAGACTCTCGACTTTCCTGTCAGGTACTCCTTGCACTGTTCTCTTCAGGCACAGATAAAATAACATTTTTGTCACATTAAAGCTCCCTGGCTGCTCCCTCACACTTCTTGTAGTGCCTGTTCTTCCATTTGATGTAAACAATTCCTTGGTGCCAGAGCATTTTTTGGCTTCATCTTGCTTTCTGTGAACTTAAATGTGGTACAACGTGAGCATTAGGGATGGGAGATCATGAGGCCTGACCCCTCTCCAGACTGAAAAAAAATACCAACCTGAAAAATCCCTCAGTATTCAAGAAGGTCAAACATGTGCTGTGTGAACTTGTTAAACACATTTATTGAGTTCTTGACAGTAACCAAACACAGTGAATGACCATTATAAATAAGAAAAAAGGCATTTGCATTTACTTGGCCAGCTCCTGCTTTATCTGTAAAGAAAAAATATCCCTTTCACCACCAATTTACAGGATTGAATGTTTGTCCCAATAATTGCTTCAGCAAGGAAAATGACAATTTTGAACTATGTTTCATCTGCTTTCTGCTTCTGAGCCCAGTCCCTGTTAATGATGGACCATAAAGTGGAGTTAAAGTTATACCACCTATAAGTGCATTCCCAATTGTCCTTAACTCACTTGAATGGGCTGCAAACAAAGAAATTAAGTAAAAAAAGAAAGAACAAAAAAAAAAGAAACAAAAAAAAGAAAAACACAAATAATACATCCACAAATAGTAGAGGCTAGTTATTTCAGAAAGGAAAAAAAGAAATCAAAGCAACTTAACTAAATTAATTTGTTAAACACATTTATTGAGTTGTTAATAGTAACCAACACAACGTATGATGTTGTAAAACAAGAAACAGAAAATGGATATATTCTGATTTTGCCAAATCCTACTACAGATATGTGACAGAGGGAAATATTTCAATTTCCTTTATATTCTGCAGTGATATATTTACAATACTTATCTCTCAAAGTCTGTCCCTTGTTAAATTAAATTAACAGAAAGATCATACCTACAAATGTTTCCTTTACAGTAGTCTTGTTCTGTCTTGTCAGTGTCCATTAATGATAGTGAAATAATGACAGCTTTCCAAGGATTACTTGGCACACAGAACACAACTCCACTTTGATGCTGTACTGAGAGCCACCTTTTTTCTTTTTTTTTTTTTTTTTTCAATTGAGGGAGAGAGGGGGAGAAGTGAAAGAATTTCATATGTACAAAGTCTGAAAAGTCTTTCTTTGTGACTCCAAATTAGTTCAGGAAAATTGTAATCACGTTTACTGTAATACTTTTGTTTTGTTTTTTGTTTTGTTTTTAAATGGCCACCAATCACATGAATAAATTTTGAGGAGTTTTCCAGCATGGCAGCTCTTTTCCCACAGCACATGGTGCATGTGAGCCCAGAGAGGGAGGTTGGGTGCATTGTAGATGATGTCAATTCCCAGAAGGAGCATTCCACTGAGGATTTGGGTTCTGCCTGCTCTGTCTCATTTGAGGAGCCATTCATTTACTGGAAGAGAAACAAACAAAAACAATTATGTTTCAATAAACTCCAAATATGAAACTGGTTTAACACTGTGAATCAAATTTATTTAACATTGCATTAGGCACTTAGACAAAATGTCTTTAAAAAGCCAGGAGGTTCAGTTTCCTCCTTTTTCTAGAAAATAATTAAGTCTGAATGACTGTTTCCTTAAGTATTGCAACACAGTCATCTGCCTTGCTGCTGAAAATGTCTTTTCTTTTCCTTTAGTGCTACTCCTTCATGATGATGATATTACTGCTGTGAGGGCACTTTAACACCATTATTTCAGGCAACACAGTTGTGTGCCTGGGCCCAAAGATGCATGAGACGCATTAAAGCTCAGTTGTGAGCCACAGCAGTGGCAGTGTGGGACTAGCTGCAGGTGACTGAGCTGCTTCGTTGTTTATGTCCACAGCTTGACAGAACACTTAGCAATTTAGGTGTTTGTTATGGTGCTGCACCTTGAAAGTGAAATCAAGTCTTATCAATTACTAATTTTGTTTGAGATCAGTTGTCATCAAGACTAGCTCATCCCCTTTTGTGGGTGAGTACACCAGAGCAAAATGTGTTTTGTAAGGGGAGAAGACTTTAAAATGAGGCTAGAACACCAAGGCCTGTCCTATTTACTTCTAAAAAACCTATTCAATGTCCCAGGCTGTTTTTTTTTTTTGTCATGCTTTTCCTGCAGATTCACTCATCTATTTCAAATGTGTGGCATTTGACTGACGTAGTTATTCCCCCAGATCTGGAAGTTTGATGTATTTTTATTTGTGTGCCTTGTTATGCCCTTGGATTTCTCAAAGAAAGGAGCTCAGTGAAAGCATAGAAAGGGTTATTCTGGAGGTGGAACGTACCTCTATACTGTAGTTTCTGTGCTCTATTGTTTGGACAATCTTTTCCCTGTAAACTAAAGTTGATATTGGTTCGGATACATCGATTGTTGAGAGGCTGGACTGGTCTGAAATTGTCACTCATGCTCAGAAATATCTGTGATGGCTGATTCTGGCTTAGCAGTCGCAAAGAATGCATCTGTAAAGACAAAACAAGGGGGTTTAGTACTGGTCTTGGCTGTAAGTAAACAGCATACAACGCTATTAAATAGATTAGTTAGTCAATGGAAGTAAAACAGAATTTCAGTGAAACAGAATTTCAGTAAAACAGAATTTAACTCTGACAGTTTGCAGTCAGAGTTAACTTAAAACCATTCCTTGTGTGTTCCTCTGTTTCTGAGCCCCATTTTAAATGAGAGTAACCAGTTTTGTGGGGAGTGAATGAAAATAGTATTGAGGTGTCCTTGGGTGAACCAGAAAGTAATGGAGTCCACAGTGCTGGATGACAGCAGCTGGTACAGAGCAAATGGACCTGATGAATGACAAGAGCTAATTTCCTGAACAGTGTAGCTTTCAGTTGAGAAGCCACAGCTTTGGTTGGTTTTATTCAAGAACTAGGTAGGGGCAGGCTGGATGGGAAGGAAAACTGACAGACTGACAGTGATGCTGCTGAAGTCGTGAAATTAATGATGTTAAAAAATGAGAGGCTCTTTTTGCTGACAGGTCTGTCATGGTACTGTCCATGCTGTGACTGTGAGTGTTCCTACAGCAGACTCCAGCCTTCTTCTGAGCTGGTTTCACAGCACAGAGGGAAACACTGAATCATCCAGTGCACTGGCTGGCAGAAATGGCTGTTATGGTGACTATGCAACTCTTAATTGATTCAAGTCAACCAAAATCAGAGAGGGAAAAAAAAGTTTCAAGTTACAAACCAGAAATCCTCAATATTTTGGTTTAAAGATATAAAAACAAAATATATTCCACGTCAGTGTACAACTTAAGAGGTTTGTTTATGGCATTTATTGGGGAGATCCAGTAGCTGGGTTTTATGTACTGGAAGTCTTTAACAGGTCCTAGGGAAAACTTGAGCTGGGATTTGCTTTTTCAGTATGAGTACACAACATAATCAGTAAGTATTCCACAAAATCCACTTTCAACATTAATAATGGAGGATATAACTAAGTATTAATGGAGAATGTGATTAACCATTAAAGCATGACAAGGAGCAAGTATCATGAGGCTATAACCCCTAGGTAGCAGCACAGAGTAGAAATTTTCGAGTCCGTATTTTGCACATTAATGTTAGACCCAAAAATGCTGCATGTAGAAAAATATCCAGGTCCTGTGTTTGAAAAGTTCACAATAGTGAGCATTTTTGCCTCTGCTCAGCTGTGTAACTCTCCCAAACCACCCATTTAGAAAGGAAACAAAGTGCTTTCACTACCTCCAGATTAAACTGGACAGAAGGAATATCACAAAAATAAAACATCTCAGGCTTTTAAAAGTAATCTTATTTACAATGTTATTATTATTTTAAATCCCAGAGTTATATTTAGGGTGGTTTTCTTGTTCTTCATTTCATTTCTCAGGCCATATTTCTTCTGCTGCCTGCTTGGGGCAGGCAGATGGTGGTTCAAGTATTCCTTGGTGTTCCAGTATACAAGAGGGGAGATTTTAGTTCAGCTCACAGCTGTGTAGGCAACTCACTGATGGAAACTCTGGGGAAGAGGCCAATTGGTTTGAAATTTGCTGTTTTCTGATGCCAGGCTTTGGATTTTAAGCAAGTTGTACAGAAATTTAGTTTTTGAGATTTTTCCACTGGTGTGTTTCCTCAATAGCTTCCTTTTGGATGTGAAGTTGTGTTTTTTCTTGCATAATTTCTCTTGCTTCTCTCTAATAGGGGCTTCAATACATCAGTCTGATTTTCCAAAGGTATTTGGGGTGTGTATCCTGTAATTTTATTCGATACCAGAAAGTATTGGCTGATTTTACTTCCAGAAGGCTCCAGATACTGTATCTCTGTCACATTAAAGTGCTATTGATGTGTGTTTATTCAGAACTAGGAATGGCCTCTGTTATCCTTAATAACCTCAGTTCTGTTTGTACAACACTGAGGTACTTGCTTTAGAGTCTCCAAGTAACTGTTCACAGCATCATAGAATGATGCAGTTGTGGAGCTGTGCTGAAAACCACTTGGTTCAAACCTTCACTGAAAACAGGGCCCCCCTTAAAGTTTGTGTGTGTAGATACTGATGGAGTTCTTAACAGTTAGTATTTTTATTTTGACAAAAAACCTCTTCAATGCTTTTGCAAACTGTATAAATAGCATGCAGAGATCCCTACAGCACAAGAGCTGAATCTAATGTAAAGCTATAAATATTATGTTTAAAATAATATTTTGTACCTAATTGTAAATTGGTAAATTGCTTTACCTGCATCCTTGTTATGTAGACAGGTTTGTTCATTATTATCCAGCTTGCTGTTTCATAGCAGGGTGGAATTGTCATTGACCCATCATACGTAATGAAACTAGATGTCTCTGGATAAAGTTCCTCAATATTAAGCCCCTGTAGTAAGTATGCATCATCTGGAGAACAAAGGAGGAAAACAACTCAGGTAAAACAGCAGCATCCCAAAACAAACAACAAAAAACCCCAAACAAAACAAAAAAAAACAAAACAAACAAACACCACCACCCTTTTCATGTCTCCTAATTCCAGAACATGATGACATGATGTTCAGTTCTACCAAAGAATGATGTTTAACAGATGCACATTTCTGGATGCTCCAGCAGTTTAGACAAGAACAAGTAGCAGCAGTAACATCCCTCACCCTGCTGGGTGGATCTGCACTGAGATTCCCACTCACACACACTGGGAACTGAGCACAGGGCAGCTCTGAATCGCATTTAGGGACTGGAGTCTAAAGCTTCTTGAAGTTGCAGTTATTGATTGAGAGGCAGAAGCCTTTGGAGAATGCTGACTTTCCATCTTTTGGGGTCATTAACAATTTCTGCTTGACAAAGCCTCAGGAAGGCCAAGAGAGTAAAAACCTGATTGCCCTTCTCCACGAGAGGAAGTTGCAGTTAATGCAGGATAATAAAGCTGCTTGTGCAGCCTCCTGGCCTTTCATGTGCACAGTGGCGTGGGTGCAGTGCCACAGTTTAGAAAGCTAAACTCTCGGTGGAAGGCTTGCTGGGAAGCAGTACCAGGATTCCTGCCTTTATTGTAAGGCTCCCTGGGAATTAATGAAGTGTATTCCTCTGCAACAGAATTTACTCTGTGGATATGTACCTAAATATAGTGAGATATATCTTTCAAAATTCATCAGAGTTCCTCAGTGTTTTCTGTACTATATCTGCACTATTTCTCTTGGGTAATGCTGGCCCTACAGTACTTTTGGCAGTGCTGTCAAAGCTAAAACTCAGACTTTCCTGCCAAATCTTAGGCTGTAGGAGTTTGTCCACTCAGGGATAAACATATTTTATTACTGATACACTGCTGCTTGTGTGTATCTAAGAGAAAGCCGGGGTGGTTATGATTTGTAACACTGTGAGATCTCTTTGAACCCTTTCACTTGTGTGTGGTGTCTCCAATTTGGTTCATTTGCAGAGGGAACATAAAAATACAGGCAAGGAAAAGTGCACACTGAGGTGTGTTCCCTCTTTCAATGCTCAACATAAGCTGACCTTGATTTGTAGAGAAATCCAAATGATCAAGGAAGTGTATAGGAGTTAAAAAAGAAAGGTGCAATTTAATTTGAATTTAACATATTGTAGCTGAACGACATAACTTAGATGAGTAAAAGACTTGTCTTGTACAACCTAATGGAAAAATAGGAAGGGCTGCAGACTATTGTCTTGGGCAACAGAAAATCAAAGAACACAGGCAAAGGAAATGTGCCCTTGTTTTTTATTTTAACACAGCAGAGTAAACACGGTACGGGGTTTTGGGGCAACAATATTGGCAGCTACAGCACCAGTTAAAGTGCCAAGGTGAGAGTGTCATGTTTCTGCCTCATTGACCAGAGCCTTACTGTTATTTAATATTTTAAATGTGTTTGCTGTTTTACAAAACAAAATCTTTGCAGGTCCTCTCATGTCTGTTAGAAGAAGAGCCCTCTGCCCTGCCCCTGCAGCTTGAGCTGGGTGGTTGCAGTGCTGGATGGCTGGCTGCACCCTCAGACAGAAGGGGAAGTGCCATCAGGGTCCCCTGTTTTAACAGCCCAGGCTTCACTGGCCCGTGACAGCTTCTTTCTGAACCCAAATCTTCCAGACACAAGCATGCAAACACAGTCAAAATGCAGTCATATTTGAACAAGTGGAGATGACTGAATACAGCTGTGTCCTGGTCATTAAAAACGTTATTTACAGCGCACTGGTAATCTTGCTAGAATTGCATCAGAAGAGAACTGATGGAGTTTGTTCATGCCTGTTTTCAATGAGTCATCACACACTTTTCCCTTTCCCACATGAACATCCTGTTCATTATTTATGAGCCATGGAAAGTGGCGTGTTTTAACACCAAGTGGCACAGAGTCAGGCAGAAGAGATCCCTAAGGACCAAATCTGTTTTCTCACAGCCTTATTGGATTCAGCTGGGCTAAAATTATTTCAACCACGTAGAATGTGCCCTGAAATGTTTACTAGGAGATGGAAAACTAACTGAAGATTAATACAGATGAGGGATATTGATATGAGAAACTGGAGGAAAATATCACTTCAGGAAAAGTCAAAGATAGGGGTGAATGAAATAAGGGTTTGTCCAAGAAAACACAGTACTTATTAATGCCTGTATATGAATTATATTCCCATGGGAAGTCAGATGATTCCATGGGAGAAGACTACACAGTAAGAATTTGGTTACCAACATTTTCCCCATGAACAGGTCTGTCCTTTCCCCACATCTTGGTGTTTCTTGTTCTGGAGTTGAAGCAGACCTGGTGGGTTGGTATTAATACCAGACTGCAGCACTTCAAAGTCTTGCTTATATTTACTGCAAATACATTCAAAATGCTCAAAATCACTCTGTATGATCTCTTGCCAGTGACAAGCTTCCTTTCATAAACCCATCCAGCCTTTCCTGGATGCTCTGCATCATTCCTATCTGCAGCCCACAATGTGTTTCTCTTGATCTGCTCGTGCTGGTGATTTCCAAACCCAGGAATTTTTCTCTCTACAAATTAGATTTCATTAGATTTCACATTCATTTATATAAAGGCCTTGACTCTGAAAATTTACCTAGGAAATTATGTAAATCCTTTTATCCCTAGACTTGTAATAGATGTGTGGGATTGGCTTTCACAGCAAAATCTGTGTATGTTCTGTTTATAATAATGCTTTTTATAGGGAATACAGTGTTTATTGAGTGGAGGAAGGTACATTTGATTTTAGAAGTTCATACCATGATAATCCAGAAGAGGATCTAGGTTAGATTTACAGGGTAAGGAATGTAGAGGTCCTCAGTTTCTCTGCTTACCAGACAATGACAAGACCAAATTTTAATGTGGAATTTTGGGAATCTAAAAAGTTAATTTTTTTTCCCTGGTGTTAAGCAAATACTGGATGAAAGCTCATGTAGCATAACTGTTTTGAAAGAAAACTAACTTATCCCCTCAAATGGCACACTTAATGAGAAATAATAAAGCAGATATCCACACAGCTTTTGACTAAAGCCTGCCTGAAAAAACCCTTGTTTCAGCTTGCTCACAGTAGAGTCTTTGGGCTGTGATAACAGAACAAAATAAACATTTAAAATCTCCTTTAAGATTCCTTGGGGTCCACTTTACCTCACTTTAGCCATTAATATCTAAGAGTAGGAATTTCCCTTTTAATGCTCTTGGCACGTGGAAATTTCATGAGCAGGAGAGACAGCACTTAATTTTGTTGCTGTTCTTTAAAAAACACAAACAAAACCTTTTATTTACGGCTGAACTGTCCTGACTCTGAACCAGTGTTCCTTTTATCATTCCCTCCACACTCCTGTTCAGCACACGGGGCCTGGGCATTTTGTCAGCATCGTGCTGAGTGCTGACTTCAGGAGTGGAGCCCTAAAGCAGAAGCTGCAAAACTCCAGCTACTAAAGGCACACTAGGAACCCTTGCAGTGTAAGAGGTAAAATTAGTTTTCAGCAATGATGCTATAATCCATCATGCAAGACAACTGCAAAATTACTTTCAATAACACTTTCATGTTCCCAATTTATACTAAAAATTCACAGTCAATACTTGTTACTACAGTAAGTAACCCAATGCCCTGTGGAATATTATGTGCATTGTGTCTACCAGTGGTTTAATTTTAACAGATAAACTTAGCGAAAACTGTGGTTAAAAATTAAAACAATTCTGTTAATCATTGCTTTTCCAGCCTGTGTTTTAGGTGTTCACCTTCATGAGGAATTTCATTTAGTATACCCAAATTAGGTGAGATTGGAATCGTGTTTCCCTTGTAAGGAGACAAAACAAGCAATGGGAGGCTGTGGGATGCTGACAGCTCCAGAGAGGAGGAGTTTCCACTGTAAATGCAGCATACAAATGAAATATTTGCTATTGGGAGGGTGGGCCCCATGGGAGAACATCCAGCTGGTTCCCAGAAGCTGGGAATATGGAATTTGTGGGTGATAGAGCTGGAAAAAGCACTCTTAGCCTTAACAATAATTCCCTGTTTCCAGGATGCTGCAGCAGCACTGGTAGGCAGGAAGCTCTTACAGAACAGCCTTGCTGTGGTTTTGCAAGGAATCAGGACAAGCAATTTAAAAATGGGACTTATCTGCTTCTTCCATGCAGAGATGATACTGATAGAACAATCTGGAAAAAACATTCTGAGGAGATCCCTCTGTCGCCTTCCTTTCCATAGGCATTGTGGAGAACTGAGTTTCATTATCATAGAAGCCTCTTATTTGGACCAAAGATGTAACAAGATTTGTTAACTCTCAGGTAAAAGCAGAGTAACCTCAATGGTGTGAAATGTTGTTGCAGGAGAGGAGAAGGAATTATTTGTGTTATCTGTTTGCTGTCTACTTTCTGAAAGTTAAATTCTGCTATTGTTGAACTTACAACTTCATAGCAGCTTAGAATATTTGACAAAGGAAATGAAGTTTTCGGGAGAAGAGGTTTAATTTGTTATATATATTATTCATTATTTTCCCTAAAATACTTTAATTAAGCTCCAGTTTTCCACAAGGTCAATATACGAACATGGAATTATTGAGGATCATCAGTTAAAGGCTTTTGAAATGTGAATACAACAAATTTACAAGCTATGCTAATAACCTCTTCCTGTATCTGTTAAATGCAGCAGTGGTTGAATGGGAATGTTGTAACTCTTCTTTCAAAAAGAAAACACTGATGAATACTAAATCCAGTGAATGATGCATCATCTTGACAGAACCAGATCCAATATAATCCAGGCTGCTCCACACGTCCCTTTTACTGCTAACAGTAGACAGTTTCTCCTGAGCATTCTGTGTGAATACAGTATATGTATGTGTCAAATATAATTTCATTTGTTTGTTGTTGCACCTTCAGATATAAAACAGACTTTGAAGTTCAAAATTCATTTGATAAAGTGATGACCTAATGAGCTTTTTCACATTCCTGAGTTTGTCATGCAGAGTTCCTGGCAATGCAAACCTGAAATTTCTGCCCAAAATGACGTGCCTCTTGTTTCAGGATCACTAAATGTTTATTTGATACTGAAAGAACACAGCTGTTACCAGAGGAAATGAAAAGAAACTTACTCTTATATGTTATTCTTGTTATGGTGTCTCTGTTAAGCATACGATTTAGAAATGGATTTGATGATTCAGATACCTACAGAAGAGAAAATGCACAATGTCAAAATCTTCTCACAGACATTTCCCTGCCAGAACTGCAGCTCTTCCATGTGTGCACACAGACACTTACTCTTTGATACTCTTCCAGTTGGGTTCTGCCTTTTTTTCATTGTTGTGGGAGAAGGAAATAATTACTTACTTGTTTTTCTAATGAAGCTTGATAGAAAGTTGGTAAAATAAATAAAACACAAGGAACAGGGTGAACAGAAATTAATGCCTGAATAAAAGCAGGAGCACAGGTTTCTTCTCCAACAGCCTTGATGAAATTTGTTGATGAAATTTGGTTGATATATTAGGCAGGACTTTCACTAGTATTCTATTATTTTATTTATTGATAAATATAATTTCCCTGCAGCAGGCTATTTTGATTGCAAATTCAAGCTCTCTTCCTCTGGTTTATGTCTGGGTAATATATGAGGTAACACCTCATGATCAGGTGGAGCTTTCCATGTGTCCAATTCTGGCCCCCTGTTGCTCAGCAGCCCTGAGCAGAGTCTGGTCTATCCTCTGACATCTCCCTGCAGGTACTTCTAAATATTGACAAGACTCCCTCTGTCTTCTCTTTAATTTTCCCATTTTCATGAGTGCAGGTCAGATTTTTGGGTCATAATACAATACATTTTGAATTTAAAAAAAAAAAAACAAAAAACCCAAAAAAAGTAGCATAAATATCTTTCTTAAATATTAGACCTGTGTGAAAATGGTCCTTTTATATCTAATTATTCAGTATACTCTGTGAAATGCATACTTTATATCTGAGGTTAATGCTTTGTTAGGACCTTTATGAAATGGGATTAGAGTACTGAGGGGAACTAACAGACATCCCATACCTAAAGTGTGATGAGGTGAACTTCAGCATTACTCAGAAATACACACCTTTTTAGACTGATGAAACAGAGATACATAATGACAGAATATAAACAATATTTGGAGGGGAGAAATAATTTTTTCTCTATAAAACGAGAGAAAAGGTTTCTCCAATGTAATTAAAGACCTTTGGGAAAATCATGAAGTCTTGAGTTCAGTGTTAGATCAGTATAAATTATAGACTTAGCTATGTACCTTGAATGCAACAGGATGGAGACAAAATATTCACATGTCTTTGTGGCTCTGTGAAATGCAAGATATTAGAAGTTCTACTTTTAGCATTCTTTCAGTTTTCATAGTTTTAAGATGTTTTAAATAACACAGAGAAAAACTGATTTTGCTGGCTTGGACACATCAGCATGACATGCTCTCTTTCCCAGGGCCTCAACCTACTAGAAGTGATTTGAATGAATAACATTTCATGAAGAAACACTAAATCTGCAAAGCTAGTGACTTCTGCTATTGCAACTAAAGTGTTATGAGTGATGTTTATGATGCAAGGGGTTTTTTTTTTCCCCACCTCCCTTACCCCTTTTAATTTTCTTTATATTGTAAAACCTTTGGAGCAGAGATGGCGTGCTCAATTTAGGAAGAAGCTGTCTCTGGCTTGCAGATCAGAGCCTCTGGGCATTGCTGTAGCATAACTAGGAGTCTTAACACCTACATTTACAGTTCAGGGAAAATTTCCTGTCTGTATGTTAGGAATCTATAGTATGGAATACTTACTTTCATAAATATGGAAACTACCACCAACCCATTAGGACTCTTTGCAGCTTCTGTGACATTTGTGTACAGCTCATGGTTATAGTGGATCAGTTGGACCTAAAAAAGGGGGAAGGAAAGGATTACAATTAACCAGTGGCAAATAATCCCATACAGTGTTTGCAAACACTACCCACACACTGCTTGGTTTGTAAAGGGATCCCATCTCTGCTTTGGGTACTTTGTAGCAGGGCAATTTTTCAGGCATTTGCAGCACATATAATTTTAACAATTTCAGTCACCATCTGGCTCCAACTGGTACAGCATCAGCATGTTTTCCTCTGACCTGCCAGGCACTGAATTCTCCCATATCCAGTTACAGATTGCACTGCAGGGGCTGACATCATTGACATCATTTCCCTGTTCCAGCAGCACTTGCCACGGGCACCAAGTAATCTGTACTCTGCAGCCCGAAGCCCAGCACAGAGGAATCAGGGGCTGAAATATCTGAGGAAACAAATGGGATATGAGTTTGGAACTGTGAAAACCACCACTCGCTGAATTCAAAACACTGGTATTAATTTGCCCCAGATTCTGCAAACTTGGTTACAGAGGCTCCTACAGTTAAGCACTTACTGTGTTATTGTTAACCAGGTTCTCCTTAGCACCTGCAGCTTTCCTTCTGCTTTTTATGATTGGCTGGAACTTTTAAATTACAAAGGCACAGTTCCCTTCCCTCACTACCTATTTAAATGTCTTAGCCAGAACCTGGATATTTGATTTGTCTGAGATCACCAGACACTGTTACAATTTACATTGCAAACTTTTTTTTTTTTTTTTTTGAAGATGAACAAATTTAATGAACTCTTGTGGCAGTTAAGTACTTCTGAACAGATGAAAGCTGGTCAGCTTTATTTAGCCTAAAGATCTTTCTTAGTTTTCAGATGTCAATTAGAAAAGGAAGGTTCTTGTTCTGGCATTGTCAGAATTGCAGCAGCCTGATGTTCACATTTAAAAATTAGGTCTGTCTTTCATTTGCTGATACTTCTAAAGGCTGTTCAGAGAAATTTCTGGACTTACATTCTGTGAACAAGATCAGTATTAACTTGGTTTATATCTGGTAATCTTTGTAACAGTTCAAATGGTCCAAGACTAAGACTGCCAGTAAAGAAATTCCATTATTATGTGCTGTCCAGTTTTATAATGAGGGAAAAAAACAACCCATAAACATCACTGAAACAGGGTTTAATGCCTGTATTGGTGAATTTGTCTTTTGGATGAATGTGAGGTCTGGTTATTCAGTACTGAAATGTAATTGTGAGGATTTTTCTGCAGGAATGATGTCCCTACAGGATCTGCAGTGCACAATCAAGTTACGCAGACTAAACCTCACTTTATCACCCAAAGGTGTAAGTCCAGCAATCCATGTGCTGATCTGATTATAGCAGTATCCCAAGCTATGTGTAACCTACACCATTATTATCTCAGTCCAAGATAGGGTAAGAAATAAATTATGCATTCAAACAGTTCTATTTCCCACATTCTGCCGTGACTGCAAAATGTATTATTCTTTTAAGTAAATCTTATCAGCTTTAGAAAAAAGGCCCTCAAGTATTGTCCTCTAACCACCCCCCAAATCCCTTTGTGATGCTGTTTTAGTGCTTGGACATAGATATAAAAAGGGGCAGTGGAAACTCTGAAAGAGAAAATTTGCATTGGTAAGATCAGAAAATTTTTGGTGCATAGCTTTGCTATTTACAGCCAGCAGTTCAGAGACCAAAAAAATAAGGTGAGGGTAAAAAGTACTGCTATGATGTGTAAATTTCAATTACTTTTGTCCTGTCTCACTTGGGAGCTATCTAAAACATGTCAAAGGAGCCAATGGAGTCCTCTACCAAATTGTGAGAGCCAGAAAGCAGGCCAAGTGAAGGTCTCATACAGCACACAGAGGTTATAATGCTCATTCATCATCACTCTGTGGTACTACTGAACATTGATAACATCCCTGTTCCAGGGACTGTGCACTCACTGAAATTTTTAGGCTTAGTCACATATTTGTCTTTTTATGTACAACTCTTTATCCTGGCAGCCAAACAACTTGTGAATTAATCAAGGAAATAAGTGATGAAATCTGCTTTAGACTAGACCTCCTTCTGTACAAAGTCCCAGAATAACAATGAATTAGATAAACTCATTTTATATAACAAACCAAAATGCCAGGGGCAGGAATGGCTAAAAGCAAGGGACAAATTCTCCTTCCACCCATGGGAACCCTGAGTCAACATCAAACTCTCGTTTCGACTGATGGCACTTACAGAAATAAAACCCCTCAAGTGGATACAACCACACACGGGATATTTGTCCCAAACAAAGGTCTCAGTGCCTAATGAAGAGATATCTTTTTTTTTTCTTCTCAAACCTGTCACTTTCTCTCTGCTGGAGTTGTATCCTGTTGTATCCTTCCTCCCTGCACCCACATTAATTTTAAAGCTGTTTCCATGGTATCATGGTTAAATTCATTAGGTTTATCTTTTTTTAGAAAAAGGTTGACCATCTAAGGTGGCATAATTTTCAAAGTTTCTCACGTGGAACAGGCTAATTTAGAAAGATTCAAATGAAAGAGTGCCTTAAACACAGAATACAACAGGATAGAAAACCATAATTCCCTATTAAATTTCCTCTGAGAATAATTTCTTTAAGTTGCCTGAAATACCCGTAAGCATTTGGTCTCTATAAAATATTACTGGAGTCTTCCGTGAAGGTGAAGCCACAAAAGTAAAATTGCTCATATGTGAAAATCTCACTTTTCAAAAGATGACACTGTATTAAAAGCACAGCACAGCAAGAGCAGACTTAAAATGCTGAAAGCACCTTTGAGTTTAGTTTGGGTTTCAGGGCTCAAAGGCAATACTGAATTTTGTTTTAAGCCACTGATTTTCTTAGGAAGATTTCCCCTTTAAGATTAATTTGCCACAGAGCAAGTGAAACATCTTTGTTTTCCTCCAGCTGCAGAAGATCTATTTTGCAGGAAAAATATTAATTAAGATTAATTACTCTCTGATGAAAAAACAGAACGTGGCCTTGTTCCATCACTCAAGAACGTGCACTGGACCAAGACCAGAATCAGAAACAGAGCTTTTTAGCCTCTCAAGACTGTCCATGTTCTGCTACAGCCAAAAATGGAGCAATAGGAAACTGAGGGAATTTAGAATATTGCGGTAATTCACAGACATTTTTCCACAGTCCCCTTGGGAATAATAGAATATCCTTTCTTCTCACTTGAAGAATATAAATATTTTTGATTTATAAACGACAAGAGAAGAAAAGCATGAAGTAAATGGCAGCAGGAAACAGCTCATCTGTAACCATAGTATTTATATTATGCTGCACTACCTCAGAAACTGTTGGGGTACCTCACAGAAAGCAAGCAGAAAGTGTTTCCAGCACAGCAGGGAGCAAAAGCAAATGAAATTGTTCAAGAAGACCGGTTAAATGTTTGTTTTGATTCAGAGTTCCTGTAAGAAGTGTCTAAGATATCTTTAAGGAAAATAATTATGCATTTTTGTTTATCCAAAGTTTAATAAAAATAGCAAAAGAAGTGTAGTTTCTGCACGGTGGGTGCCCAGAGAGGAAAATAATTTTACTGAGTTAAAAGCTGTTAATAACACTAGTTATTCCACTGTTAAAATATAATTGTTCTTACAGGTCTTGTAAAACCCTTTGGAAGGAGTAGCAATGTTGCATCACCCGTGGGTATGAACAGGTATGAGATCAGTGCAATTTTGTGTGAATGACAAAACTGTTTTTAAAGTTGTCCTAAATTAAATTAAATGTATCTCCTGCTTTGTGGAAAGGCATAGCACCAAAATTTTCTGTGAATGACAAAACTAAGTTTTTTTTTAAAGTTGTCCTAAATTAAATTAAATGTATCTCCTGCTTTGTGGAAAGGCATAGCACCAGCTGGGAGAATGTGGACCAGCTCTGTGGTCCTGATTTGTCTTGTTTTTCTGGACCAATCCCTGGCAGTGATGCAGGGGAATTTTCTTATCTTTGAAGAACAAACCCATCTTTTCATGCCCAGGGTACTCAACCACAAAATGTTAGTGTTTGACAAGGTGGTTTTACCCATACCCTGATTAATTAATCCACAGATGTGCCTTTTATTCTCTATGTATAAGCCCACAGCAATGCAGTGCTCTTGCTTTGTTGATAAATTGATAATATGAATTGCAGATGGTCATTATTATTTTTTACTTTAAAGAGTAAGACTAAGAATGCATGGAAGGAACTCATTTTTCTTCTGCTTCTGAGCAGACAGCTGTGTAAAGCAATGCAATAATTGCGCAGTAAAGTGGAAATGCAGTTGGGTTAACTACTCTTGGCTGCAAAATCTACTTTATTAGCAATAATGGCATGCTTGGAATTAGCACTGAAGCTACAAATGGAGTCTAACCATTTCATTAGAGCAGTTGGTAACAAGAACTAACTTGCAATAAAGGGTGTTCAGCAGTGAGCCTTAGCCAGTGTTCCTTGGTAGCATTTTAACATGGGGTGTTATTTTCAGCATGTATTATGGCTCCTACAAATGAATATACAATAAATATATAAAAGGCTCTGCCACAACCTAATTTAGGGCTGAGGTAGTTTTCTCTAGTTATTTCTAGATGCCATTTGGGCTGCTGACCTGGTATCTTAGAGCCTGATGAGGCTCTAACAGAGCCTTACTTCTTGTTTATGCGCAACCACTGCATCTAGAAAATATTTTTTAAAAAAATTACCTAAATGAAATATAGATGATTAAGTCTTTCTCCTTAATATTTATATATACTCTGAATACTTTCCTAAGTCTTTAATTTATTTGCAAGTAGGAAACAAGACTAGTTTAGGTAATATTTAAAACTTGACATTTTTCTTAAGCATCCCCAGGCCTACTGTAAAAAGTACAAATTACTGTCTGAAGAGACCAGATTGGCCATGCATATCTCAGAATTTGCTTTCAGGACTTTCACCTTTGTGCCAACAACAAAAAAAAATTAAGTAAATAGGCTGAAAAAATAAAAGTGAGTGGTGATGGATTCCTGACATCCAAATGCTGCTGGAACTGTTGCAAGTGTTACAAC